GCACGCACGCACGCACGCACGCACGCACGCACGCACGCACGCATGAACACACAGTGAGGAGGAGGAAGAGATGTGAGACACCACATAAACAGTCAGGCACAGCAGCACATGCCTGTGATCCGAGTGCTGGGAGTTGGAGAAGAGAGGATTCCTAGGATTTGCTGGCCAGACAATCTAGCTGAACCAGTGAGCTCCAGGTTCAGTGAGAGACTTCAGAGAGTAATAAAGGAAGAAAATGGATATCAACCTCTGCCCAGAGGCCATACATGAACACATGCATGCATGCACATGGACACACACACACACACAAACACACAGAGAGAGAGAGAGGAGAGAGAGAGAGAGAGAGAGAGAGAGAGAGAGAGAGAGAGTTAAAACTCACTGGCCACCTAATTTGAGGAGGAACTATTATGACACTTTGAATTCAATACCTGTAAGATCATTCTAGCATAATGCTACTTCCTAAACAAGGAAACAGGCTCAAAGAGGCCAGGAAGCTCCCAAAGTGTCACACAGTCACCTGTGGAAGAACCTGGAGACTTGGAACCCAAGTGGTCTGGCTCCAGAGACTGTAGCACTTTGGGCCACCTCAAACAACTCATTCTAGAAAATCTCCTGCAGGGGAAGGATATGCACACCTTTAATCCCAATACTCTGAAAGTAAGAGGCAGGGGAATCTATGTGAGTTTGGGTTAGTCTGGTCCACATAGCAAGCTCCAGCCCAGCCAGGACTACATAGAGGATCTTGTCTCAAAAAAGAAAGATGGGTGGAAGGAAGAAGGAAGTAAGGAATGAGAGAGGGAGGGGGGAAGAGAGAGGGAGGAAGGAAGGGATGGAGGGGAGGGAGAAAGGGAGGGAAGCAGGAGGGTGGGATAGAGGGAAGGAAGGAAGGAAGGAAGGAAGGAAGGAAGGAAGGAAGGAAGGAAAGCCAGCCTGCCACATTTAAGTACTCTCAATAATAAGAACACCATGAAACACTAGTGCTGGCTCAATACACACCTGGACTACAGACAACAGCAGCTAAGTAGCTCCATCCTCCTGCGAAACACTGTGCATAGGAATGAGGCTCTCACACTGTTCACTGTCTTCTGGAACTCTGAAGAAAAGGCAACAGTTAAAAAAGCTTTAGAACTGAAAAAGAAACCTTAGAAATGGTCTGCTGCCCTGTCTGAAGCTGGAAGGTCAAGATACAGTTAGTGACAAAAGCAGCAATTTCCCTCGTGTTTTTGAAGTGCACTACAAAAAGCTTTCTCTCTCTTAAAAAGAAACTTAGAAAGGCAAATGTTAGACAGTGCTGACACAGTCTATTATCAGCTGCACCCAAACCAAAGCTTTCTATATTTAAATCAATTACAGACCACCTGGGAACCAAAACATTTGCTTCCTGAAAATTAGCAGTGAAGAAATTATCTCATTATCCAAAGGATCCAAACACATCTCCTTTTCCTTATACAACACAAATTACAGAATCCATTCTTTCAACAATTCCTATCAAAATTCCTAAAAGTCCAGGCCACTGTGGTGATTCTCAGTTCACTGTTGTTTTGTCTGTTGAAATAGGGCCTCCCTTTATTAGCCCAAGATGGCCCCAATCTCAGAATGCTACTGGTCATCCTGAGTTGCTGAGATTACAAGAAAACACAGCCACACCCAGCTGAAAATCTATGTTGTGGTCCCAGTGCTCAGAAGACAGAGGCGAGAGGATGGGGAGTTCAGAGCCATCCAGGGTTACATAGTAAGACTACATCTCAAAAACAAAAACAAGGGCTGGGAGATGGCTTGATTAGTACAGTGCTTGCCTCACAAAAATAAGATGTAAATTCAATCGCCCAAACCTTTGTAAGATAGCCAGGCAAGACAGAAGCATCTGTATGTAATCCCAGTGGTGGAGCCAGGAGGGTTCCTGGGGCTCACTGCTGGCCAGCCTAATCAAGCTTGTCCAGGCTACCCCAACAAGCCCACCAGTGAAGCACTTAAAAACTAAGGTGGAGCTTGACATCAACCTCTGGTCTCTCCTCATGCATGTGTACACACATGTAGGCACATGCAGATGAATGAATGAATGAATGAATGAATGAATGAATGCACACACACAAACTTGAAAATATCTTTGGTATAAAACATACCTCTGGATTCGATGTTTTCTACATATAAAGGCAAAAATTCTTCTGACTCCTACCATCACAGGATCCCAATTATTATAATGGCATAGGAGAGTAACAATAAAAAATGAAAAAAACACAGGGATAGCGCCTGCAAAAAATAACCAAGAAAACTGCACCTAAAACAAAAGATTAAAATAAAAACCTCAAAATTATCATTAAGGCAATTTTTAACTTTAATATACATTAAAATATCAAGAAGACAGACTAAACACTGATAATATTATTATATAAAAGGATCTGGGACTTCAATTTACAATTCTACTTGCCTAAATGACTAGTTGCAATACTTACTGCTCTAAAAGAACGGGCAAAAGCAACAAAGGTATGCCAATGTTTACTAGGTACAGTGGCCAGAGTGAGAATGTCTACAAATGGGGCTTCTGTCTCCAGCACCATGGTGCCTATTTCCTCTGTGATGGCCACTCCCTGCTCACAAGTGGATTTTTCTTCCTCAATTTCCAACACTATCTTCAAAATTTCAGATTTTAAAATAAATGTGATGTTTAGCTATATTAACAGCTACATCACAGTTCTTAGTGTTAAAGCCAAGTGAAACCCTTACAACTTTTGCAAGCCTTTTATCAATAATTCATAACAAATTCTAATTATTGATAATTTTAGTCCCCCACCCACCCTTTTTTGGTTTTTAGACAGGGTTTCTCTGTGTCATAGCCCTGGCTGTCCTGGAACTTGCTTTGTAGATGAGGCTGGCCTCAAACTCACAGAGATCCCCCTGCCTCTACCTACCAAGTGCTGGGATTAAAGGCATGAGGCACCACCACCTGGCCATTACTTACAATTTTAAAGATTTACTTATTTTAGTCATGTGTATGTGTATCTCTGCTAGTGTCAGCAGGGGCTGGAAAAGAGCATTTGCTGCTCTGCAGATGGAGTTACAGGGAACTATTGAGTTACCTGACATGGATTCTGGAATTTGAACTCAAATCCTCTGGAAGAGCACCAAGTGCTCTTCACCTCCAGCCCCATAAATTCAAATTATAACACCCCAAACTGATTCTTTCTCCATCAACAGATGAGAACATGTTCAGGATCAAGGCCAGAGAGATAACTCAGCAGGTAAAGGCATTTGCAGCCAAGCCTGGTAGCATGAGTTAATCCCTGGTACCCATGCAGTAGAAGGAGAAAACTGACTCCTGGGGGTTGTTCTCTGACCTCCACACATATACCAGAATTAACTTCGGACCGAGTGAACAACAGCCCACAAGAAGCCAGGCTTCAGCACTAAAGAGCCTTCTGATGCAACCACTATGATTTTCTCATCCATCATTGATCAAGGTCCTCAAGAAACTGAAGATAATGAAATTCCATAAAGCTTAAAAGGCCATCCTTTGTGTTTAGAAGTTACCTTTAGTGTCTAGATCGGACTAAAGTATCCAAAACAATTTTTCAAGCAGCCTGCTCTGACTACTGAGGCTGATGAGAGACACAGTGGTGATCTGTTTTACAAAAGGAAATAGCCACTCCTGTTTGCTAAATACAGAAAAAGCATTTGTCCTCTTCTGAGAAAAATAGACAAAAGGCTCAATAAAGTGCTTGACTTCATAAGCATGAAAAATTAGACCTCCAGAATCCTAATTAAAAAAACAAAAACAAAACTTGGGCAAGGTGGCACACATTTGAATCCTAGCACATGTACATAAGGTGGAGACGGAAGGATCTCTGAGCCCACTGGCCAGCTAGCCTACATAGAAAGACTCAGGGTTCAGGGAGAAACTCTGTCTCAAAATGAGTTAGCTAGCACCTTAGGAACAACACCCAGTGCTTGTTCTCTGGCCTCTGCATGCACATTCACACATGTGCACATATGCACCCATTCAAACACACAAAACCAAAAGGAAAAAAAGAGTTTTCACAGGCAAAACTCCCTCTGCTGGAAATCACATGCTATCCCATTTAACACCATGAAAACAGAAAAGTTTCATTTGAATGATGTATTTGGTGAGGACTTTCTGAGAAAACAAAAGATCCTCCAACATACAACCTGATTTGCCCACTCAGTGACCCACAGAACACCCAGGAATGGGTCCTCATTAAGAGACACTGAGAAGCTCACAGTTATCAAAGTATTGACAAAATTGTTTAGAATGACTACCAGAATATCTAATAATCTATAAATGTCAGCACAGAATTATTTTGTAAAGATTCATTTATTTATGTGTATATGCGTGTGCCTGAGTGTATGTATGTGTATCACACATGTACAGGTGCCAGCAGAGGCTATAAGAGGGTGTTAGATTGACTGCAACTGGAGTTACAGGCAGCCTGATAGGAACTCAACCCAAGAGCTCTGTAAGAGCAGTAAGTGCTTTGAACCACTGAGCCAACTCCTATCCCTACAGAATCATTTTAAGTGAAAAATACATACATCACTGAGAGCATTTTGCTTTTATCCACAAGGCACATACAGACCTAAATAAAAACAGCACTAAAAATAAGGCTACTAGAACACACTAGAAACCTGCAGCTTTCAAATATTTTCATTTTCAAATTGTATTACGTCAACACACTATGATTACTTATGTCTTAAAATATTCAAATTCCAAATGCAGAGTAAATGGCTGTCTCCCTTCAGCAGCCTTAGGCAAAGGCACACCCCTATCCGTTGCCACCCTTAGAAGCACTAAAGGAACTTTCCCCACAGGGTGAGGCAACCATGCCTTTAATCCAGCACTTGGGAGGCAGAGGCAGGCAGATCCCTGTGAGTTCAAGGCCAGCTTGATCAATGTAGTGTGTTTCAGACCAGCTAGGGTAATACAGTGAGACCCTATCTCAAGAAAAAAGGAAACTTCTAAATCATTTCTCTAGGCTGTAGCCAGAGATGGCCAGAGTGCTACTTCTGCACCATAATTTATCACCAGCATCCCCATGTCCAGACCAGGACATCATATGAGAGGGCAGGGACACCTTGACTAAGTGTGACAGAGATAAGCATCCTCCAGGACACCACATCATTCTCCTGGAGTTCACTTCTCCAGCACTGTCAGCAGTGTTAAGCAGCCACTGGAGCTGACCTGAGAAGCCAAGTTACCCCCACTAGGTGCTAGAGCAATCTCCTATTGCATACAAGGGACCTATACCAAAGACACGAGGAACAAAGCAACTACTCATAAACTACAAGCCCCATATAAATCCACTTCCTTTACCTGCAAACTAATGGGAAAATATTGAAAGACCAAAATTAAGATTATCTATTTCTTTTGTATTTTATGTTATTTACTTACTAATTTACTTGTTTATTTAGTGTGTATGCATGAGCATGAGGGTGTGGGTGTATGTATGTTCATCTGGTATGCCTATGACTGTGGACAGAGGTCAACCTTGGCTGTTGTGGTGGTTTGAATGGGTATACTCTCCACAGACTCATGTGTTTGAACGTTTGAACGCTTAGCTCATGGGGAATGGCACTATTCGGAGGTGTGGCCTTGTTGGAGGAAATGTGTCACTGAAGGGATGGGCTTTGAGGTCATGGATGCTCAAGCTATGCCCAGTGTGGGACACAGTTGCTTCTGCTGCCTGCATATCAAGATGTAGAACTCTCAGCTCTTTCTCCAGAAGATAATGGACTAAACCTCTCAAACCCCAATTAACTGTTTTCCTTGATAAGAGTTGTTGTGGTCATGGTATGCCTTCACAGCAATAGAAACCCTATAAGACAGCTATCTTTCCTTAGGTGAAGTTTTTTGAAACAGAATCACTTACTGACCTAGGACTCTCCCTGTGGACTAGGCTGATTGGTCAGTGAGCCCCAGGATTCCTTCTGTCTCCACCTCCCCAGCACTGGAGTTACAAGCATGCAACACTACTTTTAAACATGGATTCTGAGGATCAAGCTCTAGTCTTCAAGTTTGTAAAGACACTCTACTGGTTGAGCCTTAGCCCCCACCATTTATGATTCTATGTAGTGGAGTCCCTTTTAGAGGGAGAAGCATCAAGTATTATCCATATCTGCCTCCCTTATTATTTAAACACACCCCTTAACTGTCACTACGTCTGCTTTAGTGATGTTGCTAGAGTATCTCATAAAGAACTTGGCTTACCTTTTGCATGCACATGTCGGCTATGATGGAGAGAGGTATTGTAAGGCTTAGTGCAAGTGTGCCTATCAACGATGAGGTAAGAAAGCAGCCCCTAAAAAGAAGAAAGGAAACATAATTTCTATATTTAAAACATTTAAAAATGCCACTAAACAAATTGAACCAAGATTTCCTGTCCTATAATACGTGCCTGAGAGATCCCAAGCAAAGGTGAAAGCTGAGTATGGACAGAGATGCAAAAAATAACAGTTACTAAAATGACTTCAAAATTTGTCCTCAATTATTAAAAATACAAACATGGAATTATACTGTGTTCTGGATGCTTTATGCTATTTTTGAGACCTGCTTACATATATTATTCAACTTTGGAGATACACACACATACACACACACACACACACACACAGAGAGAGAGAGAGAGAGAGAGAGAGAGAGAGAGAGAGACATATATTTCATTAATTTAAAATTTACTGAACAGAATTTTTAGTTTTTGACACCTAACAAAACCACATTATTACCTTTCTTTAGATTTGAAAAGCTAATTTTTAAATTATGTGTAGATGAGTGGGTCTATACATGTGAATGCAGTGTGTTTAGGGACTGGAAGTGGATTGCGATCCCTCTGGAGCTGGAGTTACAGTAGAAACTTCCCAACATGGGTACTAGGAACTGAATTCAGGTCCTCTGTAAGACCAGCATGCACTCTTAAACAAAGAGCCATCTCTCTACCTAACCCCCACAATACCATTATTAAAATTGAAATCACACACAAACTTTAAGAAACTGATAAGTTTGTGCCACAAGGCCCAGCTCTTTGAAATTTTCAATCTGATAGAAATAGTACTAGGATTATAATGGAAGTCTCATAAATTCTACATGGTAGATTGTGTTCAACTTATTTGAAACTTACTGTCATTAAACGAGAAAAAGTCTAGCATATAGTATGCTAACATCCCAAGTTAATCTATTCATGATTCCCACATCTGATCCATCCATCTGTAAAGTTCTGAATATAAATAACAACAAGAAAGCCTGTGAGCGACCAAATATTCCCAAGTTCCCTAAGTAAGCAGCACCCCTGGAGTCACACTAAGGATCCATGAATTGTCACATTTCACACAAACATAAGATGTCCACATGTCCATGGCTACTTTCATTTGTGTATGTTCATATTACATGATCATGTGTGTGCATGTGCACTCAGGAGTAGGTACACATGTACATGTATAGGTCTGTTTCACTCTTCACCTTATTTTTGAGACTAGTTCCCTCACTGAACCTAGGTCACTGATTCAGCTAGATTAGCTGGCAAGTGAGTTCCACGGCTCTTCCCATCTCTCTGCTCCCATATCAGTGTCAGAGATGCATTCCACCCAACCTAGATATTCAAACTCAGATCCTCATGTTTGTGTAGCAAGAACTTTATCTACTAAGCCATCAGCCCAGACCCAACACTATACTTTTAATAAAATGTATTTTATTTATTGATAATTTCATACATGTAAACCAACACCTTGAAAGCATTTTTACAGACTTAAACAAGTTGCATTATCCTTAGCACAGCCTATAGCAGTGGTTCTCAGGCTTCCTAAGGTTGTAACCCTTTAATACAGTTACTCATGTTGTGGTGACCCCCAACTGTAAAATTATTCTGTTGCTACTTCATAACTGTAATTTTGCTCCTGTTATGAATTATGATGTAAATATCTGATATTTAGGATATCTGATATGTGACCCTTGTGAAAGGGTCATTCAGACCCCCAAAGGGATTGCAATGCACAGATTGAGAACCACTGACTTAGAGTCATCTGAGGAAGTCTCACCTGAGGGATTGGTTGGCCTGTGACATGTCTGTTAAGAGATTGTCTTAATTGATGATTAATGTAGGCGGGGCTGCCTGACTTCCCTCAGTGATGGACTGTGACCTGGAAGTGGGAGCCTCCCCTACCCTAAGTCACTTTTGGTAAGAGTGTTTATCACAGCAGCCGGAAGAGTATTAATTCCTAGTTATAGTTACTCATTTATTAAACACACACTTTTGAGCTTCTTTCTATGTATTTTCTTTGTGAGGGGCCCACAAAAGTTCAAATCATGGTCTCTGCTCTGCTCTATCAGAATAAGTATATTCAATTATAAGTACCTATGTGGAAGGGGAGCACACAGAAGGTACCTTCAGAACTCAGAAGACATGGAAATGTTCAAACTACTCCTAAGTCAACAAACTGACAACAAATGAACTGCCGGAGAAGTAACAGAACCTACCACAACCACAGAAACTCAGAAAGAACTGTTCCAATGAGGCCGTTGATAAGGATACACAAAAGTACCACTTTATTCGGAAACTCGAAGTCCTCAAAGCCAGTATAATGAAGTAAAAAGAACCCCGGCCATAAGAGCAGCAGATTAAACAGACCTACAAAACCTGAATATAAAAGAGACACAGGTTACAATCATGGCTGACTTCAATTTTCCAAACCTGATAACATTATTAGAAAAATGAGATCTCACAAAGTGTTTTAGTGGGTTGATTAATTAGAACTTGTGTTGGTTGGTTGTTAGTTCTACAAAACAGCTCATTTCCAGGAAAAAAAACAGCATCAGTACGTACCAGTGACTGCTGACTTTGGTTTGGCTGGGTGGATGGCCTAGTCAGTCAGTAAAGTGCTTACTACTCAAATATGAGTGCATTCCTCAGCACACAGGTGGTGCTCACTTGTACTCTCTCACCTCTGGGGACATGCAGACATGGCTCTCTAGAACCCACTGGCCAGTTAGTCTGGCTGAATTGTGAGGCTCAGACAGTTCAGCAAGAGACCTTGGAATCCACAATATTTCCAAGAAAATAAAAAATAAATAAAAATCATACAGAAGAGGAAAAAGGCCTCCATAGTCTCTTTAAAAAATAACCTATGCTGGGTGATGGTCATGCATGCCTTTAATCCCAGCACTGGGAGGCAGAGGCAGGTGGATCTCAGTGAACTGAGGCCAGCCTGGTCTACAGAGCTAGTTCCAGGACAGTCAGGACTGTTACACAGAGAAACCCTGTCTCAAAAAACCATAAAAAAAACCTATGAATTTATAATTTCAAGTAAGTAGCCTAAAGGGCTAAGCATATACTTGCCAAAGAACATTGGAATATCCAATTTATCTTCTCTGTCTACTTTTCTCTTGATCATCACAATGTAGACAGCATAGAGCATTGCTCCAGCAAGTGACCAAATGGAACCTGTAAAAACCAACACATGATTTAAACTCCAGTATCCATTCATGAACTCATTCAACATATATTACTATATATACTTAGAAAGTCTAATAATACACTGAATACTAAGTGAAGAAATGAGAATGCAAAAATGAAAAAAAAAAAAAGCTAACTCATTCCACCCAGATCCTCCTGTAGGACAGGAAGGAAATGAATGGATGGATGGATAAATAATAAATAAATAAATAAATAAATATATGCCTTGGTGAACTAACCATACACCCACACAAATTCTAACAGTGAAAGTTCGATAAATAACATTTGGCTTTAATTTTGAAACACGCACTTCTTATTTTTCTTTACATCAGTAGTTCTCAACCTTCCTAATGCTGTCCATTAATACAGTTCCTCATATTGTGGTGTCCCCCACCATAAAATTATTTTGTTCCTACTTTACCACTATAATTTTGTTACTGTTATAACCATAATGTAAATATCTGTGTTTTCTGATGATCTTAGGTAACCCCTGTGACAGGGTCATTCGACTCCCAAAGGAGTTGCAACCTACAGGTTGAGAACCACTGCTTTACATGAACCATTTTGACACAGGCTATTGTACAATGTAACAAATGCTTCCCTTCCATCTCTAAGCCATTGCTTGATCTTGTTCTTCCCATCCCTCTATCTGGATTTCCAGATACTCTACCACCACATCCGTAAGGTCACACCTCTTCCACACAGCATCCTGTCTACTCTGCTGAATTTCCATTTGATTTGTCTTCTGTTTTACACAATGGAGCATTTACTAACATTAAATACGGTATTATGGGTTGGGGAGATAGCCCAGTGGGCAAAGCACTTGCCACACAAGGATGAGGACATGAGTTTGAATCCCCATGGCCCACATCAAGTCAGACACAGAAGTGCATGCAAATGTAATCCTAGAACTCCTACAATGAGATGGGAGGCAGAGACAAGAGAATCCCAGCAAGTTTACAAGCCAGCAGCCAGGCATACACAGTGACAAATAACAAAAGACCCCATCTCAAGCAAGGTGGAAACCAAGGACCAGCACCTGAGGTTGCCCTCTAACCGCCACACAAGCATTGTGTCACACGTGTACCTATACTAACACACTCACTTGTACACATGCACACACCATATATTCACACAAAGATAAAAAAATATGTCATTAATTTATTCTCTGCTGGCTTTGTTTTGTAATTCCCATATCTTATTTTAAACGAAGAACTGAAAGCTACAAATACAAAATGTTTGCTTATAATTGGTTGAAATATGCAATATAGTGTGAAGCTCACAGTGCTCGGATAATTACTGCCTTCATTAACTCATGCTCAACAACCCTTAATTAAGCCTTCAAAAACAATTACCAATGTGCCAAGTGACCACTCAATACTTTAATCTACGTACTTCACATATATAGAGAAATAACTGGGCTCTAGTTACCTTTGTTTTTGCTAAATAAAGGCAGTAATCAAATTAAAAGTTTACTCTAATAGTAACTGCCAAGGCAAAGAAACAGACTAGATAAGAAAATTAGTGGGTGAGAGTATGACAACAATATTTCTAAAACCTCAAAGTGTCTCCCCACAAGATGCTTGCTACTTTAACAACTAGTCACCTTACCCGGAGCACCCTGACAGACACTACTTGAAAACCTACATCACTAGCAAAAGGTTAAAGCAATGCCATTGGGTCTTCCGATAAAATGCACCAACACCAATCAGATAAGGAAATATTACTGTCATGGTATTACTATCTGTACAACATCAATTTAACTAGAAAGAATTCTAGACAAACCCCAACTCGAATGCAGAAGCACTGTATAACGTAGGTTAAGCTGTACCCTTTGTAAGTGTCAGACTCGTAGAAGACAAGTAAGACTGCATTAGGACTCCTGTTGAGAGGACATTAGAGGAACAAGACAACTAAATGCAAATCAATAAAAGATCTCAGGCCACTAAAAGAACACTGTGGGAAGATGGCTACATTAAAGATGGGTCTATAGAACACACTATCAAAATTAAGTGTTCACTGTAGTAGTAACTGCTCATGAAAGATACAAATGTGGATGAGAAAATTAGTAGGTAATATTAATTCCTATTAATTAATTTTGTAATTGCTTTGTAGTTATGCAAGTTAATATCTGAAGAATTTGGGCGAAGGTTATATAATAGCCTTTTTTTATTACTTCCAAAGAAAAACAAAGGAAAAGTTAAATTAATAGACAAATTTTTTAAGACCCTGTGACTGGGTCAGCAAGATCCTAGTCAGTTAAGAGGTGCTTGCTTATTTCCAAGCCTGGAAACCTGAGTTCAATTCCTGTGACCCACATGGAAAGGAAAGATTTGATTCTTACAGGTTATCTATCCTCTGACTTCCACACATAAAATATGTCATGTGCACACCCACACTCATGCATATGCATACACACATAAATAAATGTAATAAAACTGCCTGTTAGTGGCATGCTGTATGTGAATGTATTGCAGTATGCACATAGCTTGCACGAATGCCCTAGAAAAGCAGTCACGTACTTACCTATTGTGTCTCTTCCAGCAGATTTTTCAGACCCCGACAGGTTCACCAGCACCACACCTCCAATGCTGTGAGAGTAACACCCATTACTGATGAGCAAAATAAGAGGCTCCTAAAAGACTAATCGTCTAGATAAAAACTGAGAACTCAACTGTCTGTGAATCCAGTGATTTTACTGATGAGTGCTCATGAGCTCATCAGCACAGTACTGTATAGTGCTGCACTGACAGTTAATCCTCACAAATGCACACTGATGACTTATAGGGAAGGAATTCATGAAGAGGTAAAGCAACTTGACCAAGACCAAATGACAGGGCTGGAACACAGGCAGCCTATCCCCAAAGCCCAAGATGTTTACATGTCTTCATTATGGAAAAGACAACTTGTCATCCCTTCTTTCAAAGAGAGAAATAAGCCAAACCCACATAAAGCTAGCAGTGGCGCTTTTCTTGCAAGTGAAACCTAAATAAACAGAAAGGCTTTTCTTTCACATTTGATGAGTCCCATTAACCCCAGGATTTTAATGAGCAAAAAGAAGACAACTGAAGGCTGTTGAGAATGATATTGATTCATTTGACTGTCACTTGTTGAGCATCTTGAACCAGCAAAGCAGTGTGTTCCAGTGGGAAACAAATAGACATGGTTTTGGTCGTCAAAGAGCCTTTTTACTTCTGGGTAGCTTATTGTGTCTATTTTTTTTTCCCAAACAAACAGAAGTGCTACAAATTTAAAAGATGGTCCAATTCTCTTGCCTACTGATCAAAGAGACTCAGGCACATTTGGGGAGTAGTATAGAGAAAGAATATTTTTTCCCTTTCGTAACAATGAGATTAGAAGCTAAACAGAATACTCCTTACACTGGATCCTCCTACTCTCTAGTGACAGCTTCGGGTTTCCTGCAATGATCATTGTTTGGATTAGAGTCAGCTGTTGTTTACCGAGTTCCCACAATATAATAGAAACCATTTCATTTCCATTCAGAGGATGATGCCATGACTGCGCCTAAATATACTGAGCACACGTTGTTCTTTGAAACAGTTTAGAAGTTTGACCTTATCCATCCACATGACTGTCCTGTGAAACAAATTCTACTGTGATCTTCAGTATACAGAAGAGGAACCAGGCAAAGCGATTTCAAAATAGCATGCAAAGTCTCAAGACTAGTCATCGAGGCGGGACTGGATCACAGACAGCAGAATGTGATATCCGAACTCATTAGATTTCTTTCAAGGCTGTAGCTATATCGAATACTACTCATGTCACAAAAATACAGTCTCATTGTTTAAGGCCAATTCAAAATAAAGTAAGAATTAAGTAGTGTTCATTAGAATATTCTTAAGAGTAAAATTACACAAAAAAGTAAAATCAATTATCCTCAATTACAGTGATTTCTTTTTTTTCTTTCTTTTTTTTTTTTTTAAGCAGGGCTTAGGGGAAGCAATAGAACTCTGATTCAGTCTCAGCTACTGCTGAGGAACAGTCTCATCATTAAGTGTTTGTTACCTTCTTTGCTCTCTTTTTCCAAAAATAGCTGCTCGTCAAACTAAAGCATCTCCTTTGAGTACTGTCTATGGGAAAGCCTGTGCTAGGCTCTTGGCAACACACAGAACATGAAGCAAGGTTTCAACTTTTAAAGGTTTACAGCCCAGAAGAGAAGACAAGAAAAACAATCTCACAATTACATATGAAAAACTGAAAGGTGGTTATTGACAATGTCGCTGCTGTGCCCTGAGATAAAATTGCCAAATGAATTAAACAGAAAGTTATGAAAAATCATTGCAGGCTAAGATAACTGGAGAAAATCCTATTTGATTTCTAGAAGAAAGGGACAAATTGAAGCTAACATTAAACGGGGACTTGGTCAGGAAAAGGAGAAAGACAACTGATGATCACATTGGCACATTACTGTTAAATGTGAAAGGTAGTTCAACACTTAGTAATTTTGGTGCCAATGAGAGCCTGTGGATATGAACCATGGCTGTCCTGGAATCTTTCCCTCCAGTTACCCTAAACAGCATCTTGTCCACATGAAGCCTTCTTTTGCCTCATCGTTCTTTGCTTATGTATTATAAAATAATTGTTTCAACATCATATTTTAAGGACTTTATTATTTGTTTGGGTGTACATAGGTGTATGAGTACATGTGTATAAAAGTATGTATGCTTGTGTGTGCAATGAGAGGCCAGGCAAGGGTGTTGGATCTGTCAGAGAAAGTATTACAGGCTTTGTGGAATAGCCAGTTTGTTGCATGGGTATTTAAATCTGATCCATAGTCTTCATGATTATCCAAGGGAGCTCTATTAACTCTTGAGCCATATTTCCAGATCTAGTATCATATGTCTGAGCACTACAAACTAGCATATGTTATATTCTTACCTTAAAATTACAGCTAATAGTTTAGAGAGGGTAAATCTGTCTCCACTGTTACTCGGAAACACAGCTGCAAGGATTAAAGTAAAAAGTCCTACATGGAGGAAGAAAAGGAGAGAAGCTGTTAAGTTTACTTGTACCTCACCACCAATACCAAGGACAACATGAGTAAATCACATATCTAACTTTTAAGCTAATGCTTTGCTCTTTTCAAACAACCAATGCTGCATTTCCTTAAGTGGAAATGTTCAAAAGTCAGATTAAGAAGAGCTTCTAAACTAAGCCACGCTTATTCTAACAGTGCAGATAAGGGTAGACCTATTTATTTTTAAACTAATAAGCACTAAGTTGAGTCTTCAGAGTAACACTGTGACCTCATCGGTCATGCCCATGTTCTAAGTTATTTCCACAGCTTCGAAAATACTTCTTATCTTCCAGATTTGGAAGGTGAGAGTCAATGTTAAAAATAAAACACCTACTAGAGTGCAAATTTTAGATATGAAATAAGCAGTGGCATTTAGCCAAAAGGATCTAGAAAAAGATCTCTGAAAAGGAAATATGCAGTGTAAGACTACCATAAAGGGAGGATAGGCCCAGAAAACCTTCACACACTGCAGAATAGAAACCACAGAGGGTCAGGTGTGGTGGTGCATGCCTTTAATCCCAGCACTTGAGAGGCAGAAGCAGGAGGGTCTCCGAGTTCTAGGCCAGACTGGTCTACTGAGTAAGTTCCAGAATAGCCATGGCTACACAGAGAAACCCTGTTAAAAAAACAAAACAAAAATATACAAACAAATAAGCATACAAGCCCACAGGGGCCAAGGGAGAACATGTGCCTAGTATACACAGACCTAGAAAATGTTCATGCACTGCAGGATAAAAACCACAGAGGCCAAGGGTATACGTCTGGAAGAGTGAGTGCCCAGCATGCTCAGACATGGGTTTGATCCCCAGCACTAACAAAAATAACAACTGCCAGACAAAGAACTATAAACTACTCAAAGGGACATCAATAGCACAAAGTTCAGGCACTAAACTGTAACCATGCAAACTAGATTGTGCATGTCTGTAATACTGCTTGGAAGACAGACATAGGCAGGCAGAGCACCACAAGTTCAAAGCCAGCCTGGCCTGGTCTATACAGTAAAATAGCCAGAGCTAAATAGTAATGGTCTCAGTAACAACCTTCCCAAACTAGTTATAATATACTAATATACAACAGAACTAAAAACTTAGAAGATAGAATTGTGTCTATGTACATACAAATATCACTAGCTATGCATGCATCAATTCAGAATGCAGATCTTGAAGACACATTTCTTACCAGAAGTTGAAGACAAAATATTCACTATGGCAACCTGTGTGTCTGAAAGTGCTTCTTGATATGACAAATTTGCCAAAAACCACTAAACAAAAAGAAAAGCAAGTGAAATCTCATAAAAAAAAATCCATATCTGCCAGTTCAGTTCACAGTACATCCCTCCACCACCCTTCCAAGCACTATTACTGTATGAGATTCGTTCTTAGTCAAAAACTCATATGTACATGTGTGTATCTGTGTGGGGGCATGGGAACATGCATACAGTGCCAGCAGAGGCCAGAAGAGGGTGTCAGATCCCTTGACCTTGCTGGGAACTAAACTCTAGTCCTCTGGAAGAACAGTATGTGCTCTGAACCCTGGGTCATCTCTCCAGTCTCATCAAGTGGTTTCAGAGAGCTCTTTGAGAGAAAAAAAGCACAGCCCCTTAAATAAGGACAAGCATTAATAATCAAACCTAAGATGTTGCTACTCAATTTCCTAAAAACACTAACCATGTCAGACACAGTGACGCAAACCTGTGACCCCAGCACTCAAGGCCAAGAAGATTACAAGTTCCAGAAATTGAAGTCTAGCCTGTGCTAGTGGGACAATTAATTTAAATTAAGTTACAATAAAAAAATAAACTAGAACCTGTCTAGCATGCACAGAAGCTGGTTTCAATATCTAGCACCACCACCAACAACAACAACAAAAAATAAATAACAAAAGTTGATTTCAAAAAACAAAAAAAGTTAGGCTATGGTGGTGGAGGTGGCACATGCCTTTAGTCCTACCACTTGAGAGGCAGAAGCAGTGAGTTCTAGGCCAGCCTGGTCTAAAGAGCTACACAGAGAAACCCTGTCTTGCAAAATTAAAAAAAAAAAAAAAAGCTGAGGAGATGGCTCAGCAGTTAAAAGCACTTGCCACTCTTGCAGAGGACCCGAGTTTGGTTCCCATCACCCACAATGCATGCCTCAGGACTTGCTTCAGCTCCAAGGGATCTGACACCCTCTTCTGCACTCCACAGGCACATGTACACACTGCTCTCTCTCCTCTCTCCCTCTCCTCTCTCTCTCTCTCTCTCCCTCACACACACACACACACACACACATATACACACAAAGACAGAAAAATCAGCATTCAGAGATTGTGTGTGTGTGTAAAGGAGAGAGACTAAATATCAAATCTCTAATGTTTGTTTCTTCATGCACTTCATAGTTTATCTAAGTCAAATTCAAATTTTGGGAAAACCTAGACATTAAAATCTACAGGGCCTAAAAAGATGGTTTAGTAAGTGAGAGTACTTGCTGTGCAATTGTTTGGACCTGAGTTCAGATCCCACGCTCATGGACAGAAGCTAAGGATAGCTGCCTATCCCTGCAATGATGGAGTCAAAATTTGTCAAATTGTGTTCAAGCATGGGAGTGCATATATAAAGGTGTTGTGTTCTAGGATTTGGCTTCATATCTTTATTATGTGGGGCGGGCTTCATGTATAAACACACATGTGGAAGCCGGAGGTGAACTGTGACTGTCATTTCTCAGGTGTTATTCCTCATTTGTTGAGATAGGGCATCTTACTGGATGCCTAGAACTCACTCAGTAAACTAAAGTAGGCTAGCTGGCCATTGAGACCCAGAGACCCACGTACCTGCCTCCCTAACCCTGGGATGACAAGGGTGTAGCATCACACACACCCAGCTGTTTTACAGGGTCCTGCAATGGAACTCAACTGCTTGGGCTCACAAGGCAAGTACTTTACCAGCTGAGCTCTCTCCGCAACCTTAACTTTCAATGCTTTGAGGCATGATAAGTATTTACTCAGTTTGATATTCTAATATCCCAGTGTACCAGACAGCAGTTACCAGAAAAAAAAAATAACTCTAGTAGACTTATATTTCAGTACTGCATTGTTAATATGTGACCGTTTTAAATACGTAAGGAAGAAACCAGGGCAGAATGGCTCAGCAGGTAAAGTACTGCCATGTAGGCCTGATGACCTGAGTTCAATCCCCAGAACACATATAAATATGGAAGGACATAAGTGACCTCCTCAAGTTGTCCTCTGAGCTCCACATGCACACTGTGGCACCCTCTTACCATCACTGGCATAGTATACATATACACAACAATAATAAATCTGAAAAAAAAAAGTGCCTACCACAAAGCAAAAGAAAAAGCTGATTTTTGCTACTTGGGTTGCAGTAAGTTTCCCTACAGTCTTCAGTATGGATTCTTGATCTTTCACAGTAGGATAAGACATTCGGGACAACTTGGCCTCTAATGCATGGCTCGATGGAAGCTGGCGAATCTCCATGATGTTGCTGAACCTTACACGGGACTTCTTGGGAACTAAAATGGAAAACATAATAAACATTAAATATATTCTCATATCCAACAAAAATTAAATATTGTTTAATTTAATCATAAATGCAGACTATTCAGCTCATTTATGATCAAATTAAGACAATAAAAACACTAGAGTTCTATTAATACCTGGGGCAACTTTTGCCCAGTCAAAAGGGCTAATGGAAAAAAATGATTTCATCTATGAAATGGTTTAAAGAGTTTAAAATAGGGCAGGCAAGATGGTTCAGTGGGTACCACCTACCACCAAGCCTGATGACTCAAGTTTGATCCCCGGGGACCCACATGGTGGAAAGAAAGAATTGACTTTCATAAGTTGTACTCTGATCTCCACACAGGCATATAAAATAAATAAAAATGTAATTTTAAAAAATTTAAAGAGTTTAAAATGATTAAAATTCCAACAAAAGGCTTATAGTTGTATATATACACAACTACCTGGTTCAGGATTTTACTATGCTTATTACTTCAGCATTTATAAGAAAACATGATTTTGATTATTCTTCATGGTTACCTAATTGAGAATTACCTGTCTAGGCAAGCATTCAGAACACTCCTCTACGCTACAGTCTCATGTCTTGCAAAGGAAATTACAGATGAACACTGTGCTTTATACTGTAGCTAGCATTCTGAACGAAACGCACAGAACTAGCAAAATTCGAGCAATGTTTGTATTTGGGTCTTGAAGGGCATGTTTATGAGACTATTGTTCACATAGATAGATAAATGGGACTGTGGCTCCATTGATAAGAGTACTTGACTATCTGGGTTCCCCAGCACTGACTAAACTAAGCACAACAGTATATGCCTATAATCCTAGTATTTAGGATGTACAGATAGGGGGACCAGAAATTCAAGGTCATCCTTGGCACATAGTAAGGTTGAGGCCTGCCTGGGCTACATGAGAGACTATCTCAAAGGGAAAGAATTAAAACTTATTTATGTATCTATATATTAGTTAATTAATTATTAATTTATATGTCCTTTTATATATGATGATGATGAAACCATAGAGCTTCCTGGTATCTGGAAAATATTTCCAGTTGAATTAATACAGAAATTATATTCTAACAGATTCACAATCCGTTCAAACTACCAAAAGAGTGAAGGCCAAGTCAATCCCCATAAAAGTCAAGACACACTATATGAACCCTGTGGCTTAAAAGAAGCTAAATTTCCATTCACTCTCAAGCATGGAACCCTAAAGTTTGACTCACTTTTTTCAGTCCCAATGTTTGTACTCTCGAGCTTCTCACTTGGAAGATCATGAAACTTCACAGGAACATACAGTGGTTCACTCTGGAACACATGCAAACATAAGCAAACATAAGCAGCAAAACCCAAAGCTCATCTATCATGGCAGAATTTAAATACAAGGCACGTAGATACAGGAACCATCACAACGCGACTGTTTCCCACCACATCCATCTAGTCAGCCCCACTTTCCCCACAGATTGGGAAGGAATCTCATCCAGTCCACACAGGCACAAGAACACAAAGAATCAGTTTAAAGTAGAACTGTCAGCTAGGAGATGGCTCAACAGGCCAGAGCGTAAGCCTGACAGCCTGGGTTCAATCCCTGAAATGAGCCAGCTCCTCAGCCCGGTCTTCTAACCTCCCCATGAATACACATATGCTTCCCCACTCCCTCACCTAATAGTAACAATAACTAAATTAAAATGTCAAGTGAAGAAATGTCACATGGTATCTTTGGCACATTCTGGGAACCGATACCTCAACCAGTCCTCTCTCGGCCAACAGAAAATGTTCATTCTCTCAGCCAACAGAAAATGTTCATTCTTTGAATAGCATGCCATGCTGGAAGAAGTACTTACATGAACTCCCTGCTACCTGAGCAGCTGAGGTGGAAGGATGGTGTGAGCCCACTAGTGTGGAGCCCACACAACAGCATGAACCCTTGTCTCTGCCCACAAATAAAAGAGAACAAAAGCACCCTGAGCTAAACAGACCCTGTCCTAAGTCCTGTGAATAAGGGTGAGTAAACAAAGTTTCCCACCCCCTAATCATTCTGTCCAGTGGGGAAGACAGCTAAGGGACAGATTCCAATCCAGAGTAGAACTACATTTGTTGGATTTGTTTTATTATATACAAGATTCAACAACAACAAAAATCTTGTGGTGTGGGGGTATGACTACAGGTGTGAAGACCATCAATCTCAGTTGCTATATCTCAGGAGCTGTCCACCTGGTTTTTGAAACTGTCTCACTGGGACCAGGTGCTCACCCTTAGGCTGGCTGGCCACTGGGCCCCAGCAATCTCCCTGACTCTGCCCCCTCATTGCTGTGACTGCAAATTCCTGCCACCACACCTTTAAGCTTTTTAGGTGTTGAAGCCTGAGCTCAGGTGTGTGGCAAGGACTGTACCTGAGCTACCACCTGAAACCCAAGCCAACAATTCTTGAAAACATTTAAATGATTAAAAGATGAGTGGAAATGCCACCACTGAATAATTCTTACTATTCATAAGGTTCAAATACAAAACAGCTAAAATGTATTTCTCACTAGTCCTCAAAATGACTTTAGAGAGCAGGTGTCTTAGAGGAACTGTCCTCAAAGCAGAGATACAAAAACAGATAAGCAGGAGACAAAATATGGTTCCAAGACCCAAATGCCACAGCATTTTTACAAATGTTCTTATTCAAAGCTTAATTCTTCCAATTAAACTTTTGTTTTTGAAAATCAGACTTCTAAAATTTTCTTGAATTTTTCTTTTAGCTCCTGACACAAAACAATGACACCATAACATATTCAGGAAACAAATTATATTCACCAAACTAAGTCAATGAGGTCAATTCTTGAAAACATTTAAATGATCAAAAGATGGGGGGAAATGCTACCACTGATTAGTTCTTACTTTGTGTAAGGTTCAAATACAACTGACATGGTCATTTTGCGACATACAATTTTTTATTATAGCATTTGGCCCTAGATCAATTTGACTTATCAGTCCTAGAGATAAAAGCAAAAACTAATAGAAGACCAGTCAGCACCTTGTACACTGAGCAAGGCAAATGACATTACATCACCTTGATACTTAATATAGCAGAGAACAAACTTTTTCTCCAAGTTTAATAAAGTCTTCACAGTATCTGCTAACCCATCTGATACACAATGTAGTTTAAAAATCAGAAGAACAACAATACCAGGGCAATATTTTAGAAACTTGTATGTGAAGGGTCAGTGAAATGGTTTCCCAAGTAAAGACATTTGCCATACAAGCCTGATGACTTGAGTTCTGTCTCCAGAACTCTATGAAAAGATAAACGATTCCCAAAAGTTGTCCCTGACCTCCACATGCACACTGTGGCACACACAGGCACATACAAACACATACAAAATAACTAAATAAATGTTAAAAACAATGTAGAATAAGTGAAGGAACAATTTGCTTATTCTCAGTGTCAAGCACCAATACTTGTTTCCAAACAGAAATAATAATGAGCATTAAACTGAAAGCTGGTAGAGACACAGACCTGGCCTGTGCTTTCTTATTTTCCTTCCGTAACTAGCTTTCCCCTTCCCTCTCTCCTCAGAGGCAGCTGACCTGCTTACCCTGAGGCCCCCAGTCTCCCTAAGGAAAAGAAGTGCAAAGCAATTCTCTTCAAGGGCACATAATACTGAGCCACATCTCTCATTTAACTGGTGTCATCACAGGTGTCTGGTTATTCCAGCTATGGCCGAACAAGAAAGGCAGCACTTACCAAAGAACTACTCATACTGGTATCTGTTGTGCAAGCAGCAAAGTAACCTTCAGCGTCTGCAAACTAAATACAGAGAACAGGACATCAAATTCACGGAAATTCATGTCATCATGCTGCACTACTCAGATAACTCAAATGAACACAAACAAAAATCCAGAACAAATTTATGCATTAAACTATTGTTCTCAACAACAGTAGCCAATGCCAAGGGTGCAGCCATGCAGAGTAGATTTTATCATCTTGTCTTTCCTGATGAATATTTTGAGGCTGGCTGTTTCATCAAAGTAGAAGACACTGGATTAAAACCACAGTGAGTCATCTAAGGTAAAGCTTGAGCCCTTTTCCTTGCATTAATATAATATTTCAGACATGCAGAGAAAGACAGGTGAGTTAGTGAAAGAAGACAGCAACCCTTTGGTATTGTCATGAGACTAGACTGACCTGATGAAGTCTCTGACAGACTCAGGGACTGGCCCACACTGTGGGAGCCACTTAATACTGTGCAAGTGTAATTCCATTTAGTAATCAGTGCAACTCAAAGATGTCATAAGAAAAGGGACAGAAAGTGACATACAATTTTGATTCCTCACAAGATATTGTGCTGCCAAGTTGGAAGAATTCTTTTAAATTTTTAGACTTGGGCTAAAGAGATGAGTCATTGGTTAAAACTGCTTGCTCCAGAATCACAAGGATGGGAGTTCAGATCCAAGCACCCATTAAAAAGCCAGGCTTCACATAAATGCTTGTTAACTCTAGCTCTGTGGCTTGGACACCCTCTTTTGGCCTCTGTGTATGCATACCTGCACACATGTGTGCATATTCTCTCTTTCTCTTTCTCTTTCTTTCTCTCTCTCTCTCTCTCTCTCTCTCTCTCCTCTCTCTGTCTCTGTCTCTCTCTCATGTACACACACACATACACACACAAATAATTCAAATAAATCTTATAAACAAAATAAAATTTTGGACACAAATAGTTTGGGTTGTTTGTTTGTTTGAGACAGGGTTTCTCTGTGTAGCCCACGTTGTAGACCACACTGGCCTCAAGACATATGCTTGCTTCTACTTCCAAGAGCTAAGATTAAAGGCCAGTGAAACCAGTCTGACTTTTGTTTTTATCATTTACCATTACATGCTCAAATGAACAATTTAAAATTCTGGCTTTAAGAGCCAGGCAGTGGCAGGGCACACCTTTAATCTTAGCACTCAGGAGGCAGAGGCAGGTAGATTTCTATGAGTTTGAAGCCAGCCTGGTCTACAAATCAAATTCCAGGACAGCCAGGGCTGTTACACAGAGAAATTCTGTCTCTAAAAACCAAAAACCAAAAATAAAAAACAAAACAAAACAAAAAAACTGACTTTAAGAAAACTGATACACCACTAAACTTTGAAAAGTAACACTTAACAAAATTAAAAACTTACAAAAGCAGCAGGCTTTCCTCGAAATCCTCTTGTACACTGTTGCCTCCAAGGTTTCCAAATAATGAAGCCCAAAAGGTACAGAACAAACATGGATGTTTTCGCAAAGGTGCTGAAGAAAGGCTTGTTGTACTGGGTGAAGACATACTGTAGAGGAAAATGTAAGTTACCCAAACAACCTTAAGAGATTTAAAACCTTTCTGCACATCTCCCTCTTGTCATCTCTTCAGAAGTCCATGTGGGTAGGGAAGACCAAAGAGATAAAAAATACTTTAAATTCATCTCTGAATACTATATATTTCTTGCACACAGGAGGTAATATTGTCAAATGAAGCAGCAACAACCATCAAAAGAAAAAAAAAGGTTTCTCAACACATCTACTGAAAACCTACTATGCAAAAGCATCTGTGTTAGGGACTAAAGAAAAATAAAGCAGTCCTCCCTGCTTCTGAGGAGACACATATATGAAGAAATTTGCCGAGTACCATCCAGGAGCTTCAGGGTGCCATGAAAGTACCAAAAGGAGAAAGGACAGGTGTAGGGTATGCAAGTTTTCAAAGAGACTATACCATATTCTCTTTCTCGTGCGCCCCCCTCCCCGTGTGTGTGTGTGGGGGGGGAATGGACAAGCATGTGCACATGCACATGAAAGCCAGATGACAAATGCTATCTATTGTGTGAAACATGGCCTTTCACTGCCCTAAGCTCACTCAGTAGACTAGAATGGCCACTGATCCCAGAGATCTGCCTGTCTAGGCCTCCCCAGCACTGGGATTACAAGTACAAACCACCATGCCCACACCACCACACCTGGCTTTCAAACATTATTCTTAAGGTATGTGTGTGAATGGCTGAAGAAAAATCAGGCCATGCAGAAGAAATGGCATGAAGAAAACAAAGCAGACTAGCATATAACAAAAATATGAATGTTAATGCTATTAGGAAGCTACTTTTATGTGTAATTTTCTTTTAAATTGTGTGAAAACTCACCATATTTTTATTTTGTCTCCTAGGAAAAAACAACAGCAACAAAACCCAGTTACATGCACCTAGAAAGATGACAAGTCAGGAGAAATAAGGAACTTTAAGACCCAGATGGAGGCTGGGCCTACTTCCCACTGAAGAAACCATAGCTCTCAGTGACAAAGGCCAAATCCAGGGTTGAGGACAGATATGTACAAGATGAGCCTGAAGCACCTTAAGCCAGAAAGCAAATGAGATAGATCTGAGATCATATGAGAAGGATCCCAGAGCCAACCTAAAGGGGCTCCTACTAATAAAGTTAGGGTAGTGTAAGCCTTACAACACAGTAATTACAATGGTTAGAGATACACAGCAAACAAAAAAACGCAAAAACCCATGAAAGGGATTTGTTGGCAGTTAGCACTAGAAGTTCTTCATAATTGTTCTCTAAAGTAAAAGGAGGGGAAATAGCAAGATTTACTCAATATTTTATATATATGACCCATGTTTCAGGATGTAGAAATTATCACTAAAAATAATTCCAGCTAAAAACACAGAGGAATGGTTTTTATTAGAATCATCATTTTGCAAATTCTAAAGAAATAATCTCTCAGAGAAATCATCACACAGATATTCAACTATTATCTAAAGTTTGATGAGAAATTTTTAAATTATTTATTTATTTTGTTGGTGGTAAATGTGTGTGCATGTGTGTGAGTATAGTGGTCAGTCAACAGCTTGTAGGAGTTGATTCTCTTAATTTCTTACAGGGGTCTCTGGAGTCAAACAAGGGCTTGGTGGCAAGCACCTCTACCCACTGAACCACCTAACTAGCCATCTCATTTGGCCAGGTGATGAATTTTATACTACTTAAACTGGCATTACCCAAAACAGCTGTGCAGACATCACATGCCCCCTGCCCTGATGTCAGAGAAAGTACCTAGTACTTCCAAGATATTCTTGACTAAAAACTGAACCTAAATAAAGACTTTATACCTAACTATATTAGATACAAACTAAAAGAACAAGTTAGTTGACAGGATAAGGAAACAATCAGCAAGATCAAGGAAGTGGTATGCCTCACAGGACAAATGGCCCAGTTTCTCCAATACACAAAGGAGAAGAAAAAGGGGAGTGGCATATACTTCAAAAGTACAACAAAAGCAAAGTGGATCCTTGTTTAGATCCTAGCTGGGTTGTGTGTGTGTGTGTGTGACCTAGATACATCAAGAAAAGTGAACTGGTTATCAGATGATTTTAATGAATTATAGTTAATTTTATTAGATATATTAATAGCAGTGATTATGTTTTTAAAATAAAAACAAGGTGATTTTCAGTGTAAGATAAGTAGGAAAGAAATTATATGGCAAAAATTTGCATAAAGTATTTCAGGAAAAATGTTATGAATAGGGTTGATGAGATTACAAAGACTGATCACTGTTAAATTGATGACTCATGAGGATTCATTATACTACATTAGTCTCCTTTTTTCGTGTGTATGTGTCTCTAATTTGTCTATGGTACAAATATGTATATGGGTGCACATGTGTGTACAGGTGTGTGTTTGGATGTCTAAAGCTGACATTGGGTATCTTTCTCAGTATTCCTGTCTACTTTATTTATTGAGGCAAAGCCTCTCCCTGAACCTGTAGCTGGTCTCAGGGATCCTGGCCTCTATCTCCTGAGTGCTGGGATCACAGGAGGCTGCCACACCTGCCTGGGATTTACACAGGTTCCAGGGATTCAAACTCTGGTCCTCCCGCTTATGGACAAACACTGTCGTAAAGTCTGATATGTTTACCTGGCTGAAGATTTAAACCTTTGCAGATTTAAACTGTTGCAGATGTTCTAAGATGACAAAATTATAACATTTTTTTCACTAAAACTTGTTATGTGCTTAAAAACTGATTTCTAGCTTTACTGAGGTATAACTGACAAATGAAAACTATATCTGTGCACAGTGGTACACACATATAGTCCCCAGCACTTAAGAGGAAATTGGCTGGGCTACATGGTGAGTTCCAGACCAGCCTGGGATACACAGGAAAACCTGTCAAAAGAAAGTACTAAAAACTGAACAAACAAAATCTACCCTAAAACATATTTACCATGCACAATATAATGCTTCAATACATGTTAAGATTGTGAAATAATTGTCAGTTGGTGGAACTTTTTTAAACTTTAGATATGAATTGCTACATTATAATTTAATGTAGCTTCCTTGTCTAAATCCTTTCTTTTGTTGGGGATAGGGCATGGGTGGGACGGGGTGGAACAAGAGTAAGGGTGTATCAAAGTCTTGCTGTGGGCTGGAACTCATTATGTAGATCATGCTGGCCTGAGAACTCACAGAGATCTACCTGCCTCTGCCTCCTGAGTGCTATGACTTAAAAGCATAATGCCAGAATGCCCAGCCTAGTTCTAAAGTTTATTACTTGATAAAACAATTTATTTAATGCTACAAATTTTAAAGTTAAGTTTAGGACCCTGTCAACATTAAGGAGATTTCTCTGAAGCAAAATTATGGAATGTTAATCTAAGAAAAGATTACAGAAGAGTTTTGGAGTGGAATACAAAGGACCTGTGGTGTTCCACCAGGGTCTATTCCCAAAAGGGCAAAATTTTTTTTACTCACAGGATATAACCTCAACTATTTGCTTAGCTGTGATGTGGAATCCAGGATATCAATGGCCTGCCCTGACATTTAAATTCCTTTTACAAAGTTAAATTCCCTCTTGGATATTTCCTTGTGACTGCAATATGTGAGTCCTATGTGATGAATTCTGAAAATAAAAGTTGTGATAGTGAGATGGCTCCATGGGTAATGGTACCTGCTGCCAAGCCAGATACCATTAATTTAAGCCCCTGGACCCACATAGTAGAAGGAGAGAACTGACTTCCACAAACTGTCCTTTGATTTTCACATGGGTGTCACATGAATATACATATACTCCAAATAAGTAAATAAATATAAATATTACATACAAAAAATTGTTGTCTTCTTACAAAAATCACTAACCAAACAGAAGTATGCAAATACAAAGTACGAAAACACAAAGTACCACAAAACTACAAAGGAGATAGACATCACTTAACACATGCTTAGCTTCAGCCAATCATACACTGGAAGTTTCATAAAAATATGTGAATCAGCAAACACATAAATGTGGACTCACAAATGTATGCATGAGAATAACAGTGACTTGTACATGAAAAATTGGATGGATAACTCATGTTTACTTTTCCAATAATACTCTTTTTCAAATTTATTCATGTGTGGTAAGCAATCTACTAAGCTATGCACCCAGACCCAAAGTGTTCCTACTTTCTACTAGTTGGTGAATGTTTGTTCACTAGAAAATAGTATTTATAAAAAAATAAACTCAATTTTGATTAAAAAAAAACACCTTTACATAGTAAGAAAATATATTCTGAGTAACGCTCCCTACAAATGTAAGAAAACTGCAAGAAGGGATGTCGGAATGGCTCTATGGTTCAAAGAGTTTACTTTTCCTTCCAAATTTAACTCCCAGCACCCATGTTGCGTGACTCACAATTGCCTGTAACTTTAGTTCCAGGGACTCAGAAGCCCCCTTCTGGCACCTATGGGCATACACAGACACAAACATGCACATATAAAAAGCTTTTATAACTTTAGGAAACAACAAATAGCATCATCTCAGTCTTCACTTGAAATGACACTAATACAGTATCAAAGAAAAACAAAGAATTCAACAATATTAAAATACCACTTTTAGAAGCATGAGGCACGAACAGAGGAATACTACGGGTTGACACTGACTGTTGTCCTACCGCAGTATCATCAGTGAAATACTACTGGCCAGCATTAATACTATCATAATGCAACATCATTGGTAGAGAGATACATACCGAGGTGAGTTCTGAAGATGCCACCCAGATCACATCAACCAGCAGGAGAATCACTATCCCCAGGGCCATCCGCCTGCGCTGACTGAAGCCACTGTTCTGCGAGTTCACACGGTTCATGATAAATACACAAACCATCTGCAGTCTGTTCATTGAGAAAGCAGAGATCTCATTAGAGTCTCCTCTAATAGAACCACATAAAAATCAGAAACCCGGTACAAGGACATGTGAGACATTTGCTAGTGACTGCTCACAATGTAGTGTAGAATTTACCTTGTTGCCAGGGCGTCTCTGAGATCCTCAAATGCACCGACGGCAAACCTGGCAGATTTCAGTCTAAATGGAGGTGAAGAACTTAGACCACCTAAAACAGCACCACAGAAACTATGCTTAGGAAAATTTCAAGTGTAAGATCACATCTTTTTCTACTCTTCACCTTCAAAGACGATCAAACTGTATTCAACATAAACCACACTGGGGATGTAGCTCAGTAGGGGAATGCTACCCTAGCATGCATCAGGTCCTGGGTTCCATTCCAAGCCCTTCCCAAACTGGACAAAGTGGCACTTGGGAAATAGGGGGACAGTAGAATCAGAAGTTAAAGGTCAGTCAGAATACATAGTAAGTTGAAGGCCAACATGGGGGACATGAGACCTTATCACAAAATAACAAAACAAACAAAAAACAGGCTGGGGTTGTAGATCAGTTGGTAATGTAGTTGCCTAACATGCAAAAAGCCCTGAGTTCATTCCCAGAACTGCATAAATCAGGTGTGGTGGAGCATGCCTGTAAGACAGAAAGATAAGAAGCCCAAGGTTACCCTAGGCCACCTTCAAACAGTGAGTTTGAAGCCAGTCTCAGATACATGAAACCTCCCGTGCCCCACCCCCATACACACCCAAAAGAAAGAAAATGATTACTCTCAGAGAGGTCCTGGATACCAGGCATATAAAAAAAAAAAAAAAAAAAAAAAAAGCAACATTCAACATATGGCACATTTAAGAGTATCATAAACAGATCCTCGAAGTCTCATAAACGGAACTCCCTCGAATCTCCCTTCAGGATATTCGCCCCCAGGCAGTCTAGACACGCGTGCAAGCATCAAAAAGTGTCCTTATGCCCCATCTCCAGTGGATTCGGCTCGCTGACAGGAAGTGATGTCCTCACGTGAGGACAATGATCTTACTCGCTCACCACCCGCCTGGTCACTACACCCCCGGCTGCAGTCTCAGAGGACGATGGAAAACAGCTGGTACAGGGAAGCCTCCCCTTGACGAGGAAACGGCGTAAGGAAGACCAACCGTGTCACCTCGTGAGGGGCGAGAGGACTCTGACCCTGCCACTATGGCTGCAGAAGCC